TATATATATATATATATATATATATATATATATATATATATATATATATATATATATATATATATATATATATATATATATATGTATATATATATATATATAATAAAAGATTAAAGTTTAGCCATGAAATGGAGAAAGAGTGGATGTGTGGGAAGTGATGTATGTAAAAAACGGAGAAGTCCAAATGACCATCGTTAAAATTTATATTTCGGGAGGAAATTATGACTCATCAATAATGCCTTTCATTGCACTCATATTTCCGTATGCGTAAGCAAACACAGTATCATATACCACGCATGGTAAACAATTTTTTTTTTATTTTAGCCACATTTTTGAGATTTTCCACTAACTAAATGCTGCATAATAAATGGATCAGGTATGGGCAGAATGTTCAAAATATTTAGAAACCACATATTGGTTAGGAGGAATGAAAAGTAGAACCCTCATCTCTGTGAGATGAGGAACAGAAACACAGAAGAAACATTTCGGTAAAGTATATGAATGCTTTGAACATTTTGATTTGTTACATACAATGAGCGAATGTAGAAAGAAATGGTAGAACATTTTTACGATTATGCAAGATTTGAAAAAAAATACTTGGAAGGATCAGAAATTTTCTTGTCAATCTGGAGTTTATCAAATAATTTTGAAAAAAATCATAAAAATTATAAGTTCCACAAAAAAGTTTTACTGCTGTGGATTTCTCGGGTTCATGATCATGAAATGCATCTATTCATATTATCATTGATCTTTGCATGGCAAAGGTACAACAGAATTAAATTTAGAAAATAATAAAAAATAATAATAAAAATATTGAAGCTAAAGGCCCATGCATACCATCATCCTAGTGGTGCAGGTAAATGACAAAAAATGCATTCATAACCGGAACCGAGTCCGCAATATTTAGTTGCTGTAAATGCCCATCCCTCTAATGGTACTAGTTTCGGAGTACTTTGGGGCTGTTATTTGTTTTCGTTATTCAATTGGCTTGAATTTCATGACGATGCGTTTTTTTCTTTTTTTTTTTTTTCAGGGAGATTAAATCTCTACAAAAACCCTTGTTTCTTCTTTCATCCCCATCCTTCTGCCTTCGGCTCAGTTGTTTTCATTGATGAGAGTATGACGGATAATTCAGCAGTGAGTCAATTTTAATTGTTTGCCTCTGGACTGTATAGACCCCTCTATCATTTGTAACGTATAGTTTTATATCTGACCTATTTGTCTACAAGGATTTGGCATTTTTCAAACCGATTGCTTCAATAAATCAGTGCAAATACTACAAGCAAGAATCCACAAAGACGAGTCGACCAGATAGAAGGTGAACTGAGGGGAAAAGTTAAATGTCAACGATAAAATCTAAAAATTAAGATCAAGTAGTGTAAAAACAGTGATTTGAAATGCTGTGTTTTCATCCTACGCTTTTGTGCAGCGGTATATATTTCGGAATGGTTTGGTCTCGGAACCAGGACGAGTACTTAACAAAGAAGGACAGAACACTAGCATTAGTGGTGACTTGACTAGTTTATGGAACAAAGTGGGCATGGGCATGGGTATGGGGATGGAGATAAAGATGTGGAAGGATATGGTAACCTGAAGGTCCTTCCACATTTAGCCGTGCTGGCTGGTGGTATTCAGGCAACGATGTCATCCTTTACATTGAGACCTAGATACTTCCAATAAAGTCAGCCATAACAGAGGAACATAAAAAAATCATCAATCCAATTCCTGACTGATGCATTCATCCTACCTGGGAAAGAATGGAGGAATAGAACAGCTGATCCCAGTACTGTGAATCACCTACACATTTCACCAATCAAGATGAACAATACTTTCGGGAAAGTGCATCCGAAATGCCGGAAGTAATAGGTTGCAGTACGTGATACTCATGTTCTGGATGGGATGAATCATACACATCCCTCCCCTCCGTTGGTGGATCTCTCCTAACCGTCAATCATTAATCATTTGTTTAGTGTCAAAACTGATGCTCACGATTCATTTGGAAATGAAATCAGAATTTTGAACAATTTACGACATGATGTGACGTAAATGAATCAGCTTGAAATGAACGCGTAACAAGACATTAAGAAGGAGGAAAGTTACACATATACAACAGAGTCTGTTTATAATGCACAGATGTCATAATATCGGATTCTGAAAGAGAAAAAAAAGGTTTCTTGGAATTAAGGAATCCGGCAGCACAAGTAATATGACTATTGTGTGGGAGATTCACGTAAAAAAGTCGTAGGAAGTGCGACATGTGGTTACTTGTTCAGTGTGGTGAAGCAAACATGCATAGTGGTAGAAAGGTATGTTTACAGCAAAAGTATGCAGAGATTACCGCCTCGAGCAGAAAGCCACCGATGTAGAAATGACAACTGTAGTCAATGGGCTGGCCCACAACTCCAATCATAGGTAAGGATGTGTAACTGCGGATGGCCGGACGGATGGGACGGGAGCGGAGAGACAGTACATGTTGTTACCTGTGGGGAAGTAACGTTTCAACTCGTACAAACTGATGGGTAAAGCGACTATCAGTGTCGCTTGTGCCGCTGCTGTTTCCATTACGACGACGAAGACTAAGACGAAGGGACGTTTCAGATGGCCGATGTGGTGCTCGGAAAGAGGGGCACATCGATCGATGTAGGGGAGGCACGACGAGGTGCAGGTACCGCATGCTGTCGCGAGTGTAGAAGGGGAGGGAGGATCGGTCGACGGCTACGAGAGAGTGCCGATCAGCTCAAAGACAATCCATGAAATATCATCCTTTCATTAGGTGGAAAGAAACGAGAGTAGGAAGTAAGTAGCCTTTTTAGAAGGTCGAGAATCCCCCCTCCTCTCTCTCCCTCCTCTCTCTCTCTCTTTCTGTTGATGGGTTTAGAGAAATTTGCTTGGATGTCTGTTGGTGCTGTAGTGCAAAGGCATGCATGTGTGTGTCTGTCTGTGTCTGTGTGTTTCGTTCAGGGTTCTTGATTCAATTGATCGCAGCTGGTAAGGTGAATTCTGAGGGTAAAGGCGGGAAGGGAAGGAATGACGTTATTGCAAGAAGAGCCGACTAAAAGTTTTTCCTTCGGTATACTGGGTGAGGTTGTGATACTGTTTATCTGGTGCTGCATCACTACGTCCATCTATCGGTTCCGCTTGACACGACTAACTGAACAAAAATGAACCTGAACCTGCAGAGATGAGTTCCTCTTCTCCTTGCAACGGCCTGCCTTTATCTGTGCAGTGATAGAAAAGTTAGCTGACTGCTCGAATGACAGCTACTGTTTTGACCGTTGACTTATGCGGATACCATTTTCCCAAAGTTGAGTTGACACAATGTTGAGATATTCGCAATCTGTAAAAGTGCTTGGCTTTCTACGTACCTATTTATGTTCCCTTTTCTGCTTATTAAATGCGTTGATTAGCACAGTCTGCTCTCAGGAATAAAACTTTGGAACTGAATTGCGGTGCTGGAATTTGTCATTCGATCTGGAGCCCAAAACTGAAAATGCTAATTTGATCCCGAGGGCAAGTGTTTGAACAAGCTTTAAGCTTTTTTAGTCGAGGTTTTTTAAATAAGTAACAAAAAGTATTACTAAGGTTAAGTTAGTAGGGGACTTCCCACTGCTTGTATCATTTAAAAAGATTGCTTTTATTGCTCGAGTCGTGATGTCATTGCTTGGTCACAGGTGTCAAAGGAAGGATGAATTCTTACGTGTAATTATTTTACTTTGTTGGTAGCTATTTTTTCGTTTTACATACGAAAGATTCTTCCAATCAACTGAAATGCATGCACAAACGTAATGAGAAGTGGAAACGTACCATGCCATCGGAATGTTATTCGTTTCATCATACGGCATTGGCGGTCGGTAAGGATGTAGATGGAGATAAGAGGAGGCGTGGGGGCAGAAATTTTCCTCGAAAAACCTTTTCAATCAGGATTTGATGTTTCTGCAGAAAAGTATGTGGTATATAATTTCTGAGAATTTTGGAAGCTACCGGAAGCTTTGACGTTAGTAATTCTAATAAATTTCTACTAATTTTGAAGTAATTGAAGTTGGTTGTATAAGACACACCCAATATTATATTGCTCAACTGTTTTAATGATTGGTCAAGGAAGAAAAAAAGTGCTTAGAATCGGGAAGCGTCAAAGTCACCAGCATAATCAGAATTGAAATTAGATGGGACAAAATACTCAAAACAAGGGAAATGAACAAATGCACTAAACCTTGTTCGGACATGATACTGGTGTTCTGTCACTATGCTGCAAATTACTCAATATCCCTGCATCTTTTAAAGAATCCATACTTAATGAATTGTTGTGATCCTACAGCCGATTCGTTGCAGTCGTAATTCAACCTTTATCTTTGCTTTGGATGCTAAAACCCTTGGGGAATGTCACAGTTGTCAGCATAGTCGAAAATTGAAATCAAATGTGGATGAATCTCCCACACCTTTGTTCCATACTTCCATAGTTTGTTCCATGTTCTTTTTATGTGAGCAAAATGTAAGCAATCCAACACATATCGCTTGCTTTGCAGGTGAGCGTTTATTTAAATGATCATGTTACAATTCAAACCCCACATTTCTTAGGTTCGGTGATATCTCCCTTCGAAATACGAGAGTTGTTTCAATTGGGACAATTCGTTGTTCAGACAGCCTTGTCCGAACTTAACCCATTGACACTACCCAACAATTTCAATTTTCAAGACTGAATAAAAATTTTGTTCCTAAAGGAGTGTTCTGAATTTCTGGTGTTGACAGATGAATGTGGTTATTGATCTTTTGAAAGAAACTGATAATTTTAATCCCTCAGTATAGCCATCACTATAGCCTCTGTTTTAGGTAATTGGTGATTTCTTCAGAATGAGGTTTTATCATTTGTTCTGCGAGATTAGTTCCCTTAAATGGTGAAAAGATGAAGTTGGCAACGAATTCCACTGAAAGAGAATTCAGTGTATGAGCAACGCGACATCACAGTTCTATTTGGTAACAGTTCATACAGTTAACGATAGGGAGGTCGACCTGATTATCCAGTGATTGCTGGTATATCGCACATTTCTTACACATATGTATTAATATATAATATATGTCGACGTTTCCCTCGAGAGCGATAACCTGTTTCTCACTGTTTTTGATGAAAATTCGAATTCGTTTTCTCGCGTATGAATCCGTGTTGAAATCATTTTCCGAGAAATTCTACCATTTGCTATGTTTTTCCGCTGAATTTTATGCTTTTTTAAAATATTCCGGATCATTTTGACTATAGGTGATGCATTTTTTCCGGATTTCACCTTTAATTTATACAGTTTTATTGATACCGTAGCGGTGAAAAGAAATATTAGGTATCTGAAATATTAGGTAACTGTAAGTTATCTGGAAAAAAAATGGGTACCTAAAAAATGTTAGGCAATATTAGGTAAAAATATAAGTATTGTCATTAGGTATCTGACTGTAATGAATTGAACGACATAACTTGATGTATGTGACACTGAAATCTCCTTCAGGAGATCCATATATTGTTGCGTCCAAAGTACAATCGAACACAGCCTATGCTAGTGGGGTGAAAACTTCCGATATTCCTAATTTTTGATTCCAGAAACTTATTATGACAACTTTTTTGTTATTAATGAGATATATGGTTTATCACTTGCAACTGTAAGTGTGCTTCATAATTGTTTTTGTAATCCTTCGTAATTGTTTCATTTCAATGCAACTTTTTCGATTGCTTGAAAAACAAAATTATCGTTTTAAAAAGATCCATACCAAACTGTTTTGTTGTTAAGAAAATAAGGTCAGTGAACACTGTACATTTAGATTCTGCACATGAAACATTGTACATTTTCGAAATTTTTCATCTGATTGATAAATTTTTTAGTTTTAGATGATCTACAGAGCTTTCTTGGATAAAAAGAGGGAGGAATACAAGGGATATCCACCACAACCGAGCTGTGAAGTTTAGGCTCCTTCAGTTAAATCAATCTTTCACCAAATAATAGTTGGATATTATTGGTTTGCTCAAAATACTCTTGCGAGTTCAACATCATCGACATAATACTTTTCATGCACACTGTGAAAGCTAAATCGAAATTTCTACGAAATTTCGTGAGCTCATTCAGCCTTAAACCATTGCGTGATCTGTGGCAAAAATGAAGATCAGCAAAGTTCCGTGTTTATTTATTTTTGAGTTCTCTTTCTTCATTCAACTTTCTTTACCTAGATACATGCAAACAGCTTAACCATCGTTGTATCCGATGAATTTCAATTGAACTTTAGTCTGTCCATAGAAAAGGAAGGATAAGAACTAAAAAACTACAAAGAAATATGAGTTAAACATGAACAAATCAGCGTGTTACTTCTTCTAAACTTTTTATTTACAAAGGTTTAGACTTGACCTGGGCATTTGACTCGTGCCTAACCTTAAATCGAAACCCTCCAATATTAAAGTCCGTTGATCTTTCATCACAAGTTCATCATCTCAACATTAAATAATGATGTAATTAGGCTCTTCACATTTTCAGTGAATCCATTACAATGTTTCATTTACCGCTTTTTAATGAAGGGATATATATATATATATATATGTAAATACGGTATTGGGTAGAAATGAGTTAAATATATTAGTTCGGCCCTCGAAAACCATTTCAATTTCTTATGTGGCTCCTTAGAAAAATTAATTGTGCGCCCTTAATTTAGACAGATCAGCATGACTTGATCCAACAGTCCCTACAGTAAACGATTTTTAAGTTATACTGCGCAAGCAAATGTTCTATATGTATTCAAAAAATAAATATGTAAACGAAAAAATCAATTTATTTAGCCATTAAACTGCTCATTCAGGACAATTTCTTTTATACTGATATACAAAGGATATTAAATCACTGACAGTAAAGAAGTGGTTTGAAATCATTTTAGATGTGGCACAGATTTAGGTATGTAGGACGACGTGCGAGACGGTTGCAGATGAAGTTCATTGGGAGTGCTGGGAAATAGCAAAGTAGTTCATTTTGTATTTTCTTCACATTATCTCGATATTTCGAACAACGTCTCATAAGTGCACAACAAATCATTATTCTGAGTTATGTATTTCCCTAATTTTCGAGCAGGTTTTCGGACTTTAACATTTCTTCACGGATGGATAGTTAGATAATACTAAAGGAGAATAAATACCAAGAAGTTACAAGCAAATCGAGATGATACTATAACCTTTGTAGGTTGAGATTAGGTGCTTCGTAACAATGGAAAACTGTGGAATGGAGGAAATAACTTTACGAGTATCATCATAAATCCTTTTTGAAAGATAAAATACACAACCATAACAAATGCTCAGTCATAAACTTTCTCAATCAAGTTGTACTGACTGACCGATTCCTGCTAATTACCTGCGAATTCAGAAGATTTTTGCCTACTATTTCTTTTTCTTTTTTAATTCCAATATTTTAGATCTAGTCAGTGGTAGTGAGAAATACGTATTTCTAAAACTCGTTCAAATCTCTTATCACTCCTGTGGAAGTTGTTATCTTCAGTAAGCCCCAACAATAAGCATAGGTTTTAAATGTTTTAATAGCATTGATACAATTGATATATTAAAGCATAACAGTGTAAACCTTATGTGTGAACAATTGTTTCACATTCCTATAATGGGCACATGAGGAAGAAAGATTCATTAGGCCTATCTCTCAATATCTCAAAAATTGACATCGAACAGCTCGAGAGGTTCATTCGTTCTAACAACCGTCATATCAACGTTTATTTTTTCTCTAAGCATGCATTTGCAGCAATGATGATAACTAATTCTGCTGTCTTATTTCTGGCACTTGTAGTTGTTGTATACACCCTACAAAATCCACTCATTTCTGCGCCTTTCGACAATTTCCGCATCGAATGCGCCAAATCGTCAGGTACTTGGCGAATCAATAATCTTAAAGACAAAACTATTTAGCGTATTTATAAAGTGATAAAAATAAATGTTTCTATTGTAGTAAAACGAAAATAAGTCAGGTGCCGTAAGAATCAGCGTTAGAATGGTCGGCTCGCAAGGTTACATCCGGCAAGATATCGTGTTCGCAATCATTTGTGAGCGAGTCGACGAGGTTTGTTCAAACATCTCAGAATAGTTGCTGTTAAAGTTCTTTCCTGCATTCTGAGATCTTTTGGCTACACTTCAAAGATTAGAACTACCAAGTAATATGTTAAGAAGTAAGAAATTCTGTTAATTAAATTAATTGTAGCTCTATCCATGGCATGATATTCCCACAGGTATTGCGGAATTGGAGCGAGAAGACTGCTACTACAGTCATTTGTTCGATCCAGTTGTGGATACAGAATCACTGTATACATGTCGATCGCGAGAATACATATCTGGTATTACCCGGCTATCAGATACCAGGTAAAATTGGTACTGTTAGAAGAAGTAACAAACCATCTCTAGCCGAAATAGTACTTTTGATATTTTTTCTTAGTATAGGGTACAGGTGCTGTGTTGTCGTTTACGAACACGAGATGAAATAAACTGTATAGAGAAAGAGTTTACTAAACCATTTGGATCTGATCTGCGAACAGAAATATATCATCACAAGCAGATTATCAATTCGATTGCTATCGAAGGGCACAATTACAGAGTGCGATTCTGCGATCTTACACCAAGAGCCATTGGTCTGTTCCTGCCTCCTTATTTTTAATAGAAAGAGTTTTGTAAGTTTGATAGCTTATATCTGAAACATTTTTCAGAGCTTAAGCTCTCCAGTGAAATTATAGCCTCCTATAAGATTTTAATCTAGTTTATACATGTTATTCAAGGTCTAATTTATGACGACTTACCTGTGACTGTTGCTACCACTACCGAAACTCCAAAGAACCGCAAACTTCATGCTTTAGAATCAGAAAGTAAAGTGTTCGATATAGCAACAGCCAAAGACACAAAGAATGGTTTGTTTGGTAATTCATTTAAGAAAACCGAGTATTTTCAGGAAATCTAGATAATTTGTAATTTAGTAAAATTGTCGAACGTGTTGTGGGGAACTTTCCAATTATCCACATGTATAATATTTAGGACGTCTTACATCGCAAACTACAACAGTATCATCTGCAACCGGACACGTTATCCAGATATTTCGGCCGAGTTCCTTGTACAACTTTGAGGAAGTCCAGAATATACTGAATATGAGTACCCTTTCACCATCTAGGAACGATTACTCTCAAAGTAACACAGTCCACAATTTTTTATTTGGAATTCATAAGTGATCAGAGCGAAAATTCTTTAGATTAGAATATAAGTGATATGATAGTTCGCGTATTCAAAATCAGCACAAGTCCTGTGGCTATTGCATATTGATGGATAGGGGCATATTTTCAAAAATTAGTCAAAAAGAAAAAGTCGCAAAAGAACTTGCAGAGTAATACAGATAGAAGCAACATTCTACAATATTCTTTATAACCCCACGGAAGTGAAACCTAAAATCATGGTGATAATTAAGATAAAAAGTTTCATTGAGCTCTATTTCTGGTTTCCAGCTCTAGGGTTCCTTCTGTAATTGAAATTTCAAAATTATTCATGGTTTCTGACAGATATCGAACCATCACTAGAGGCGCAACAAATGTCTGAAGGGAAGTTTTTAACTGCTATGGATGCCGAAGAAAAAGATCAAAGTACTGACTGGTGAGTTTTGGATTTGATTTTAATAATGATCCGCCAAACTTTCTGTCACGACTTATGATAACGGATAATATATTGCACGGTTGTAAGCTTCACTATGTATTATTGGGGCCGCAACAATTTCTCGCTATGCTTTTGTTTTTTTGTATAGTAGAGGTACTGCTGTCGAAGGAATTAAAGTTCTATAGAATCGAATTAAATTAAAAATACTATTTGTTTCACATTTGAATATTCCTTTCACTAAGTAAGATTTCAGGGTGACAGATGAAATAAGCAAGCAAAACTCCACAACACCCACTGTTTCTTTTATTCCAGCAAAGGTGATGCAGATCATTGGTTATTTATAAATGGAATTTCAAAATACTTTGAAGAGAAGTTTTAATGATAATTTTGGGGAAATAAAATGTATTTTAAATAGGTAAAAATAGTGATACATACAGAGTCAAGACATATTGCTGTAATGATGCCACATCAGCAGTTCCAGAGTGCGATGCCCGAAGAAGAAGTGGTTTCAAATAATCACAATCAAAAAACAGTAACATGGTCTTACTTCGCTGAATCTTCACTGCAAACCACAACTTCTGCATCACTAATTCTTTTGAAACCTTTGAGCTCTAAATCATTACATACTAAAGTTACACCAGGAAGTAAGGTGAGTTTATCTTTCCCTTAATTACAAATATCCATTTCTAAAAAAGCAGTTTTAATTTTTGAGTCGTATTTCCATAACTTGATCACTATGCTTTTCCAGTATCTAGTTTCCTAATTTATCCTGATGATAGCCTTTACGTCTTTATCGTATTATGCATCCAAAATTTGGATTTACAGTATATTTCTTCCATGAAAATTTTGATTGAGATTTCGGAATTTTAAACTAAGTTTTGAATTAAAAATTCTTGATTTTCTTTTTTCAAAGAAGAACTTCAAACCTATGACAATGATTTCCAATTCAAGCCGCCTACAACGAAAACAAGTACAAGACGACGAATGAAACAGACTTTAAATACAATCATTTCCACCACTTCGTCTAAAACTACGCTCCAATCAACGACAACATCAACCTCTCGTTTCATAGAACATGAACATACATCAGAAAGCCCTTTCTTATCCAGTGATCAACTGCTCCGTGCTTTTTCTAGCGGGGCACACATCGATGAAGAAACCAAGTATTCTCCATTCGAGAACAAGGACAATAATCCTTCACGTGATAATCAGGTTAAATAATTTTAAGAACAGTTTTATGGGGTTTGAAAAATTTTTAAACCAATAGGTTTAAAAAATTTACAGTTGCAAGATCTTGATTTATTTATGATTAGTGAACTCTAAATTATTTAGGCCATTGGATCAGAATATTCGCTTCTTCACACCTCAGCTAATCCTCTCGATACTACATTGGCGGAAAGCGACGCTTTTCCATATAAAATTTCGAACGAAATTCGTCGTGCTCCAATTAAATCACGTTACTTTTTATCATCCTGACTTTTTGTTTATGCTTTATATCTTTTTAATTACAATTTGTAAAATCGTTTAGAAATAAAAACTCAAAGAATTTATTGAAATTTTTCGGGAAAAATAACCTGTATGTATTCTACTATTGTAACTATTAAGTTCGGAAACAAATTGGAGTCGCATATAGTGAATTCAAAGGTTTTTCAAACAAGCAAACGAACAAGGTGGACCACGAATTTAATTTCCCATCATTTGGTGATGAAAATATCGGTTGCTTATTAATCATTTCATAAATTTGCCTTATTCAAACCTATAATTTTGAACTATGTTGAATTTCTTGGTGAGATTTTATATGCTGCAATCTACATAAGGTGCTGACAGAAGTACTGTAGAAAAATGCACAGAAAAATGCACAGGAATATGGACATCCATATTCCAATTGATTGGAATATGGATGTCCATCAGCTGATAAAATGATAGGATGTTCCAGAAGATAATGGTTTGGATTATACTGAATATGATCTCCTGATGAAAAAATCTGGTGATGGTAGTCGTACATATGTACCAGAAAAACCGTTGGACGCTCCATCAGGTAGGTATAATAAGAACCTCCGGCCATTGTAATTCTACAGGAAAATTTTCTGTATGAAAGCGCCAAATATCTGAGGTAATACTTGTTAGAGCGGCAAATTTTTTATTACTGACAATGAGATATTACCTTAGCAGCAATCGTATATGATGCAAATAAACAGAATGATGTTTTTGGAATTGCGAAGAGGAAGAAGGAAGTTCAGCAGCGGGACCAGGAAAGCGATCAAGAGCATAAAGATGGTGAGAAATAGTTTGAAGATTGCCCAGAAATACTGATAATTTTTAGTGGGAATTAAGCATTTTTCTTTTTTTTTCCATTTTATAATTTTTTGGATATGCAACTTTTGAGGTCTATGATACTTGAACTTGTCGTGGATATTTTCTTTGCTGCGACTAAAGTGAACTTTTCTCAAAAGTGAACTTGAGTTATGTGCGTACTGAAATTTGCTTGAATCCGGACTCATAATAAGATTTGACTTAACTCTGAAAAAATATTGCAAGTAAACGATAGCCGAGCCAAGTGCGTGTAATAGTAAGTACACACTGCATGAACGACAAAGACTAGTTTCTGATTTGGAACTATTTAAGATTTATGAGGGTTCTTATCATGGATGTATTAATTCTATCTTCGTCCAGAAATACCCTTTACTTGGGAATGATATTGAGCAAAAGATTCTGCGTAGAAGACATTGGCTGTTCATAGAATCATCAGTCATTTCATCGATTGAAATCATCGATGTAACTTGTAATATTTCTAGCGGTCTTTATTATGGGCTTTCATCATCATTGTTCTTTCGTAGAAATTCATATTGGACAATCTTGCAGTTGCATTTCTAAAGTTTTATTTGAAAATTTCAGTTGTTAGCAAGGAATTGTTACCAATGAATGATGATGAGGTTACTTTAGTCTCAACGGATGTGTTTACTCCATCTTCAGTAAAACCATCCTCGACAGCATCAAGTGAACAAGATGATTTGGAATTTCCTACCACGGTCAAACATCCTGTCACATCTTAATTTCGTCCTGGTTAAAAAATCCATTTTTTTAAAATTTGGATCGAATTTATGTAAATCTAAAACTGGCGAGCTTTCAGTCCTCCGCGGATATTCTTTTCATCTCTGGGTATTGCATGTTTTTAAATGGTAATTGCGGTCACACAGTTACTATGTGCTCAATTTTTGCATATTCCAGAACTTCAGCCAGATTGGTTTGGAGAAGACTGCGGAAAACGTTTACGATCCATCAAAATTCTACCGCACACCACCACCGAAACGGCCAACTCAAACAGAAAAGGGTTAATACAAGATCTGAGTTCTTTTTCAGCTGATTAACACGAAGAAGAAGAAAACAAACGGATAATAAGCTAAATTAATAAACTTCTGAGTGTTAGTGAACATTTCATTAAAAAACATAAACCCGATGCCGTAATTCTATTAGTCGAAAATTCCCGATATAATCACAACAAATCTGTAGTCATAACATGACCTTTGCAGTGTTAACCTTCTGCACAAAGGAGATAGCAATTCGTGATCGACATAATTTAGTGATCGCTTGTGGTAGTGAAACAGAAATTTGGCAACCATTTCGGTGTCCAGAAGGAAGTGAATGCTTTTTTTCAGCTGATTCCAGTTATCGGATCTGTTGTGCTGTAGCCGAAGCTGTTCGCTATGCTCAATGATTAAAAAGTGTCGTGTAATTTACCAAGTTGAATAGATTTACTGTTGTTGATATAATATTGCAATATTGTTATTTCATTTCATTCATCCATTTTGATCGTTTCATCTCAGAAAACGCTGATTTCCATTTTGCATTTATAATTTCCTCTAACACTTTCAACAGTTAATAACAGTCAAGAATAACAGTCAATCGAAACTTTAAAATCTTTTTCTCAGCACCTTATGCTATTTCCTATTTTAATTTTCCCTTTTCATCTTTTCATTTATTATCTTTACTTTGGTGCTATTTCAAATCCATATGATAAAATAAGCTTCAAAATATAAATTATTAATAATATTCTATATACATTACTAACGGATTTTTATCTTGTTTTTAAAGAGATTTTGCAGGACGAATTTTAAATGTGTCATATTCATTCATAATTTGTATTCATTAAACGTTGCTAGCAGACTTTCACATTACATCTTTTATACTTCCACTTCTTTAAAACAGCATTGTTTTCCTTTTAACGCAGTGGAACTTTAAAACTTGGACTATTATCATAAGACACTAAAGTGTTGCAAGAGAATTCGACGAACTATTAAGTCTGTTATGTTCCCTCAAATTTTCATTGTTATTTTAAAACTATCTCCTCTTTTTATATTCATCTTAAAAACAGTTGTAGAAATTTTATAGCCTGCGATTTTTTTTTTATTTTCAGCAAATTATATTATTACTAATCGATCAGCAATTGAATCACTTCTGCAACAAAGCATTAGCAATTTCTTTGACCTTTTCTGTATTTAGTATTATCTAGTAATCATTCTAGATAGAAGGGTTATACTCCTCACTAAATCAAGTAAAAATTACTGTTTGCGAATTTCACTAGACCAATAGAAGAGAGAAAATTGCATGACGCACAGTATCAATTTTATGTTGGCATAGTGATATGATAACATTTGCAAACAATATTCGCTTCATCGTTATACGATCACAGGGAAGAAAATTATATGAATATCAAATATGCCCATATTGTTATCAGAAATGAGTTTTAATGATTTATTCTTATTCTTGACCATCTTATTGCATTCTTTTTTTCAAACCAATTAATTAAATATTTTTTATCGATTGTAATTAGTGACATTTCAAATTTTATACGCATTGAACTCGATAAAAAAAAACTTCTGCTCGATACACTGTAAGCACAAATGAACATAATAAAAGGCTTAAATTCTTTAAAGATAGAAAAGACAGTAGTAAGCATAGAAATTTGATCCTGCAGTGATTATATATATATATATATATATATATATATATATATATATATATTAA